AATGAAGCGTCTCTGGAAAAAAAAATTATACTTGATTTTTTTCTTATTTATTATGAGGAATATCTCCTTAAAGTTTATCGACTTAATCCTGAAACACCCTGTATAATTTAATGGACATAATAAAAGGGCCATTAGCCGTTAACGTTAGGCGATGCGAAGCTATATTTAAATTATGAGATTCTCTAAGATTATAACCAGAATAAATTTTCTATAAACATTTTTATGTAAAAAACGCATTTTTCTTTAATTTTGCTTATAAAACCTAAACTAACAGAGCAATGTGAATGCTATAAAGAGACAATTCGTAGAGAAACGAAAGACGAATAAAACGAGACGTCAACGGATAATTAGAAACGAAGAAATCCTGGAAAAATCGAAAAATTTAGCATTTTCTTTTTAAATTCTTTACTCCGCCATTTTTTAAGTTGTAGAGCTGACCCTGTACACAAAAGTGGTGAATTATGTGCACTTTAAGTGTGCACAAAGCTGGCGCTGTTGGATCATTAGTTTTGGCACAATTGCAATTAAAATTTTTTGGTGCACTATTTTGCAAAATTTCTGGAGGTGGTCCGATTTTAATTTTTTAGATTTTAGGATTTTAGAAGTAGAAATACAGGGCGTACCAAAATGAATATCGGGGTTTTAAAGCTTTGTTTATTACGGTGACCTTACCATTATAAATTATACATCAAATGAACGAGCAACTCAAACAGTTTATCCTACAAGTGATAAATGTGAGCACCCTCCGTCACATCGAGTTGATAGCCGAGTTCGTCCCAAACCTGCTTGCTCAGTGTGTCTGGAGTAATTGATGCAATTGCAGCTTCAATCCTATGGCGTAGGTCGTTTAGGTCAGCTGATAGCGGAGGCACATACACCCGATCCTTTATAAACCCCCAAAGGTAAAAATGGCATGGCGTCATATCTGGTGAACGTGGAGGCCATGCGAAACAAGCTCTGTCATCCGGCCTCTTGTGGCCAATCCACCTGTCGGGAACAACGTTGTTTAACCAATCGCATACGAAGGCATGCTAATGAGGCGGCGCACCATCTTGCTGCCAAATAAAGTTCTCTAATTCCAGATGCACTCTAATTACAGATTCAGTCTTTGCAGACTGTAACACACAAAAAGCTTTCTGCTCCCTAGTTGCCATCTTGGCTGCTAGCGCTTCTAACGGGAGACAGCGGAACCAGAGCATGCGCACGCGCACGCATACTTGTAGGACAAACTGTTTGAGTTGCTCGTTCATTTGATGTATACTTTGTAATTGTAAGTTAACCGTAATAACTTCTACAAAGTTTTAAAACCCCGATATTCATTTTGGTACACCCTGTGTAATTCTACAGAACGTATATTCTAATTTTCCTATACAATGATGCGAAATAGGTGAAAAATTCCTCTAGACATGCTCAAAAACGGTCGAGCGCGCGTACACGGTCGAGTAGTGGGGGAAGATCGGGAGGTGAAGGCCGTGGATATATAGGTACACAATTTTGAATAATGTTAGTTATAGTACAATTTAATATTATTAGGCTATTGATTATGTCTTAAAGAGGAGGGTACTAAAGAACTACAACGTTGATGGGTTTTTATTGCATGAATCGTTCAAATGGTTATTCAGAAAGAAAAAACCGCGAAGTGCTATTAAATTAGAGGGTGAAAATTAATATTAGTAAATTAGGAGTATATCTCGAAAACGAAGCAAAATTTGAGAGTATTGTATAGGAAAAATTTTGTAGATAATGAGATTTTCTATCGAAATAGCTTATTTAAAAAATTTATAAAAACCAATTTAACAAAAAATGCAAAAAATTCAATTTTTTGTTTTTTTTTACTTTTATCCAAATAACTTTTTTCTGAGCAGAGATAGGTACAGGCATTGCTTCATAGAAAAAAATAGTAGATAAAATTTCCTTCAAAACAAGAGGTTGTACAGTATTTTTGGATGAAAATTGAGTGGTACATGGCCACTTAATAAATTTTTCGATTTTCGTCGCGTTTACCCTTATACATTTTAATTCTAATTTTTTGCAAAAAAGGAAGAAAATAAGACGTTCAAGGATTTTCATCACATGACTTGTTCGAAGGGTCATTAAAAATGAGAAAACCACTGGGTGCTATTAAATTAGAGGGTTGAAATTGAAGATAGGTGTGAAAAAGCGCTTTTGCAGTTTTTTAAATGTAGCACGAAAACGAAGCAAAATTTCGGTATAGCTCAAAGTAAAAATTTTGTAAAGAATTCTCTCATCGAAATGGCTTATTTAAAAAATTTAAAAGGAACATTTTATGTAAAAAATGGTTAAAAACAATTTTAAAGAAAGCAAAAAATAAGATTTTTTTTACTTTTTTAATAAAATAATTTAGTAAAAACTTAAGAATTTAAGTACAATAAAGTTTATTAATAAATAGGTAATGTATATCCAGTGTATCCACGGATGGAGTTGACAAGACGAGAAACTCTTTTGTTTTTGACTGTATCGAAAAATGTCACTCTTTATAAAAAGTTCTGCCCCTCGAAAAAATGAGACTGTCGTCATACAAACATCTTAGATTAGAAGTAGAAGGCGCTCTTAAATTAAAAAAACACGAAAATACTCAAGAGAGAAGTACCATTATTTATTATTTTACACAACATTTTTATAGAACAAATCTGTTTATAACCTCAAATAATGTCAATACAAATTTTAAAATCAAAATTTTAATTTTTGAGGTGGGAAGTAGCTATACATATAGAGTAAAAGTCAGAATTGAAATTTCTATTTTAAAATTTGTATTAGGACGTTTTATGAAAATGTTGTGCAAAATAATAAATAATGGTACTTCTCTCTTGAGTATTTTCGTGTTTTTTTATTTATTATTACCCTGTACATCTAATCTAAGATATTTGTATGACAGTCTCATTTTTTCGAGGGGCAGAACTTTTTATGTGACATATTTCGATACAGTCAAAAACAAATGAGTTTCTCCTCTTCCGTGGACATACTGTATATACATTATTAATAAACTTTATTGTACATATTCTCAAGTTTTTACTAAATTATTTTATTAAAAAAATAAAAAAAATCAAAAAATCTTATTTTTTGCTTTCTTTAAAATTGTTTATTAACATTTTTTTGCATAAAATTTTCCTTTTACATATTTTCAATAAGTAATTTCGATGAGAAATTCAATTCTCTACAAAATTTTTCCCATGAACTATACCGAAATTTTGCTTCGTTTTCGTGCTACAATTAAAAAACTGAAAGGGGTGCATTTTCACCCCTATCGCCAATTTCAACCCTCTAATTTAATAGCACCCCGCGGTTTTTTCATTTTTAACGACCCTTCAAAAAAGTCATGTGATGAAAATCCTACAACGTCTTATTTCCTTCCTTTTTGCAAAAAATGAGAATTAAAACATATAAGGGTAAACGCGACGAAAATCGAAAAATTGGTTTGAGCTGCCATATATCAGTCAATTTTCATCCAAAAATATTCTACAACCTCTTGCTTTAAGGAAATTTTATCTACTTTTTTTTTCTATGAAGCAATACCTATACCTTTCTTTACTCAAAAAAAAACTAGAGGCAAAAAAGTAAAAAAAAAATCAGAAAATAGAATTTTTTGCTTTTTTTCAAATTTTTTATTAACGATTATTTTGCATAAAATTTTCCTTTTAAATTTTTTAAATAAGCTAACTATAGCGAAATTTTGCTTCGTTTTCGAGCTACAATAAAAAAACTGAAAGGGGTGCATTTTCACCCCTATCTGCAATTTCCACCCTCTAATTTAATAGCACTCCGCGATTTTTTCATTCTAAATAACCATTTGAACGATTCATGCAATAAAAACCCAACAACTTTGTAGTTCCATATCATATGACATAATCAATAGCCTATATTGTAAGTGGTGCTATATACAAAATGCAATAAAATTTGGAACAGAAAAGTACATTTTTTAAGAAAACTCAAATTTACGTTTGATGTCAATATTTCGCGTAAATATCAAAAAATACAGGAACAAAACAGAGAATGACTACAGGTTTCATATCAATATTCAATCACCAACGCATCCAGAAATTTTGCAAAATAGTGGACCAAAAAATTCAAATTGCAATAGTGCCACAATTAATGGTCCGACAGCGCCTTGTACATACTTAAAGTATATATAATTCATTACTTTATCCGATTTTTCGGGGTTTTCTTAGTTTCCAATTATCCGATCGGATCGATCGACCTCTCATTTTATTCGTATTTCAATTCTCTACAAATTGTCAAAACAAAAAATGCGTTTTTTTTCAAAAAATGTTTATAAAAAATTAATTAATGGTAAATTGGAGTAGGAAACATATGGCACAGTCCGTTTGCTACTAGTATTTTTGACACAAACAAAATCTCTATTGCTGGCCTACTAGAAATTATATACCATTCACATTTGACACGTTCGATAAATTAACAATTTTTCCACTAAGAACTGTAAAATGTCTAAAATTACTGTAGAATTCGTTTTACTGTTAATACTGGACTAAAGTATGAGAATATTGACTAAGACTAATTGTTCTCAATATTGAAAGGCCGATTAAACTGGTTACTGGTTCATGTACTTTCAATACGAAATAGTAGCAAAAATATTTCGTCTTTTAATTTTGTGTTTCTGACTTCGAAAATCGGTTTATCTTCTTAAAACACACTTAAAATAAATTAATTCCTACAAATGATTTAAAAGTTATAACGAAAACTTTACGACCTGTATGACCTTTTTAAGTGGTCCTTACATACTCTCCTAAGTTGTCCCACTTTAACATTACAGTATGCACATTCGTGTACAGTTCTTCATGAAACAATTTATTTAATATAATAGTATTAGCGTTACTATTTATTATTCTACGCAGTCACTTCAAAACCCATTTGGCCAAAATCAGATATGCTACTGGTTTTCACAGGTAACGGTCGTAAGCAGAAAGACCAAATATTCAATTGGAATTTTCCACAAATAATATGTGATAAATTTTATGTATTACCTGAATATGTTGTATCCAGTAATTTGAGGAGCACCAAATACTTTATTGCTATAAAACTTATCACTTAGGAAAACAAGGACTTAAAAAATAAATAAATGTATTAAACGGTACTACATCAACGATATCGAGTTACTTTTGCGATAAATTTTATCTAAAAACGACAATCTTTCAATCGACAAACCAATTAAAATAATTATCTAAAACAATAGTAATTCAATAATGATAACCAGTGCCGTACCACGATAAACAAACACTGAGACTGTTTCTGAATTCTCAGGTATTTTATGAGACAGTAAATTTTTACATTATGTGGCTCAATATATAAAACGTGTAGTTTGCACGTTTAGTTATTTAATAATAATAATTCAGACTATTGTTGCTTCGAAATAATAGAGAAAAATATAAAAGATGCAAATTTCAGATCGTAGTGAACGGATAGTTTTATTATTATTTTCTTTAAAGTGTTTCATAATTCTTACAGGAAACATTAAAATAGTATTGCCTACTAAATCCTTTAACATCAATTACTAAATCAAGGAATATCTGACAACCCACGATATAGTATGCTCCGACAATGATGAGATAAATATTGTTTAATGTAATTCAAACCTAAGTATACCAGCCAACATTGACAATAAACGACACATCACGACAATGACGGCACCAATACACGGGTATTTCTATGAGAAAATATCCACCACTTGTTGCTTATTCTGCAAAAATTAATTTAAGATGTAACACACACCGGATCTTTTTTAAAAAACATATATTCTACTATTAGCTTTCGTATTTTTTAATCTACATTTCTGTTATCGAAGAACATTGTTTAACTTCATTTGATCAGATTTCTTAGAACACATTTTTGAATTCGATTAAAATACCTTAAAATAGAGTATAAACACGAAAGGTAGTAAAGAATATTATGTTCTTTAAAAACAATAGTAGTGAAAAAGGGGCAAATATTGTTAATTAAAAAGTAGTGTATACTAATCTAGTCATTTTCAACATTTTTGACGTTGTCGTTTCAAAATGAATTATTTTTTAAATATTTGATTTTATTAATGTTTATTAATTCCACACGAAAGGAGGCTATTTGATGAAACAATCCTGGGTAAAATGTGGAAACAAAAAATCTCTTCGTAGTAGTTGTTTACGTGACTATAAAATACAAGATATTGTTTAGCCTTCTCAGACCCACAGTTCACTCACCTGTTAAATGTTTTCAAAATGATTGAATTGAATCTTATTTGATTTCCAAATTTTCTAAAGACCAGCAAATTTTACGAATACTTTACAAGAATACTTTATTGCCACATATTGATTGTACATTTTAAAAACATTTAAAATTATTTAAAAAACTAGTGACGTACGATTTTTTTTTTTCAAAAAAGGTCCCCTACTCTCCCAATAACTACGCAACTGGAGTGTATTTTGGAATAGGTTATCCATGAAAAAATAGTCCCTACAAAAAAAATGTCATCCCCTAAATTTTATCACTAAATATTTTTTGTCAGTGACAGTTACAGGAAAAACAATATAAATATTTGAAACTATTAACACCCTGTATCTCCGTAGGAAAGCGTTCTAGCAAAAATTTTTATAGGGTAAAAGTTTATTATTCTCATCGGTAGAATCCGCCAATAAAGTTTGACAAAATTTATCATTAACACCCTGTATAATAGTTTCGAAAAATTATGCGGTGTTGCTAGATTTATTAAAAATATTAAAATATTGATTTCTGACGTTGTTTTTTAAACTTTTTCCTACTTATATTATATCATTGAAAATCCAAAAAAATGCTCTATTTGCTCAGCTTAAAATTCAATATGGCGCCCATAAGAAAACGAGAAAGTTCATGATGGTTTCCCGCAACCAAACGTCGCAATGAAAATCTAAAATATACAGTGAAATTTCTCAAAAAAAGTGTTTTCAGATTAAAAAAAATCCTCTAAATAAAAAAGTTACAGTTCGAAATCGATACATTTATTATTTTTCAAAATAACTCAAAAACCTGAAGAGCTTGGACCGATCTGCAAGCGCCATTAAGTCTAAAGTGTCTAAAACATTCCCCTTTTAATCATTTATCTATGTCTTATAGTTTTCAAGATAGCAATACATGCATCACCAAAATGGTCCACACTGTAAAGCACTAACAGAATTCATAGCAAAACACAAAATTAAACGAAAATTTTTATTTATGAAACTTTAAAATACAATTTCTCCCAACAGAGCAACACGAGAAAGTTTTACAAGAAGTACATTTAACAAAGGTTAGGCTCTTGCACCCCGGATATCTGTAAAAGGAGCGACACTTTTGGGAATTATTCACTCAACCCATCCTGCAGCTGTACTAAAATAAAAAAAATTGTAGATGCATCAAACGGTCCAGTTCTTAGTTCTTGTTCTCATACTTCCCATTAATCGACCCAACAAGTCGACGTCGGAGTGGTCATTACGATGTTTAGCTCAACCAGGTTGAGCTTTCCACATACAAATTGTCTCATTGCACCTGCCCATGGAACGGTACCATCTGTTTATAAATTGAAATTTGACTTGTCCTATAGTTTGGACGACAACCTCTTTGAACAGAGTGTAGCAATGGTCGTATTTTCCAAAAACACTTCTCTGAAAGACGAATTCATGAAATGTTGCAATCAGTAATTAGGGGTACTCTAGTTTCGCGCGACCAAAACATTTTTATACGTGGTAAACTGTAGAGAGTAGTTAATATTTTCCAGTATCACTAATTTCCCTCATATTTGTGTAAACTGGCTCTCTCACATCATTGACGTCATCTATATTTATTAGTGGCAGTACAGCAGAAGGTTCGAATTGGCCTTCACGTCTTCAATTTTTAGCATACTGAAATGATTCATCATCAGATGAATCGAAATCATCAGTATGATGGGGTACTACTAACTACATATTAGTATGGGCAAGGAGATTCACGCTGAACTCGTTCACCACTCCCGTCTTCATCTTCTAAGTCAGATTGATCTAAATTAATGTTCTCGGAAGTTCTTGCAATTCACTTTCGGTAAGTGAATAAATATGAATTAAAGATTTGATATTTAGATTTTCACACACGCCGCATGTTTTGGAATAGTCCCATGATACGTTAACTTTTTATCGACTCAGGCAACAAGTGGCAATAAAATATTAAAAGTGTTTTATCTAAAACTAAAGTAGAACACCCAGAGAATGATTTTTAACAACTCAAATCAATTTACTTTGGTATTTACGTTTTGTAGAGTAAAAATCCATCCCACATTAATTGTATGATTGCAACACATGACTGTATAAACGCAGAAACTAGAGTCCCGCAAATTTTTATGCGCATGTACTGAACCTATCATGTAAGATAAATGCAAGAGCGTCGCATTTAAGCATTAAAATTAGTATAATAAAATAATGTTCACACTATTTCACTATCAAATTTGATAGGTCTGAACTGAAGAGGTTAGAATTATTTACGTTCTTTAAAAATTTCAATAATCAGGTATTTGTTTTTGTATTAATTATATTTATGTATATATTATATTTAGACATATCCTTTCCCGCACAAGTCTCCGACTTCTGGGCTAATTCTCGTAGTTAGAATGAGGAATAGAGATGTTATTATTATATAATTATTAGTTTTTATTTCGGATAATTACACAGCCCCACAAAAAAAAGTATCGGATCCGGTATTCAGACCCATGTATTTCCATGTATTTTTTCCGGTGAATCCGAATATGCCTTCAGAGTTTTCGGGAAAATTAAAAAAACAGGTCAAAATTCACAAAAACATCATTTACGATCGACGAAAGTTATAAAAAATCAAATTATTCTACCAGCTCACTAGGCGTATGATTTTTCACTCGTTTAATTCCAATTTATCATCATAAAGTCAGACAAGCTGGTCCAATTTCATTCAAAAACAGAATATATATCAAAACGCCATTTTCATGGCATAATTCGTGTTGCAGCATCTTTTTATCCGCCCGCCCATTTATGAATTCATACATCTTTCTATCCAGTCGTTCATGCATAAATACGCATATTTATCCATCCACCTGTACCACCTATGATAAATAAAATGATAAATTGGAATTAAACGAGTGAAACATTCTACGTCTAGAGAGCTGGTAGAATAATTTGACTTTTTATAACTTTCGTCGATCGTAAATGATGTTTTTTGTGAATTTTGACCTGTTTTCTTAATTTTTCCGAAAACTCAGACCCGTTGGGCCAAATCTGGAGGCAGATTCGGATTCAGCGGAAAAATATACATGGAAATACATGGGTCTGAATACCAGATCCGATACTTTTTTTGTGGGACTGTGTTATTTATTAGTAGCTATTACTAAGTATAGGTATGGTATAATTGCTGGTTGGGGTATGTAGCCCGCAATATCAACAGTCTTGGCTTCGTCTTCGTCTTCCTCTTCGTCTTCGTCTTTGTCTTCGTCTTCGTCTTCGTCTTCGTCTTCGTCTTCGTCTTCGTCTTCGTCTTCGTCGTCGTCGTCGGCGTCGGCGTCACCGTCACCGTCACCGTCACCGTCACCGTCACCACCACCACCACCACCACCATGGGACAAATTTAATTTTTCAAATAGATTTTTTGACAAAATGGAACTCGTTGAGCTTGAATCAAAAATTGCACGAGCCTTAACGAGGTGACCATGACAAAAAATTTATGATTGCTGTCGATAATAATACGTGACAATCTTGACGAGAATGAAGACTTGTTTTATTATGCATTAACAATCTGAAGGCAGATTTGGATTCAGCGGAAAAATATACATGGAAATACATGGGTCTGAATACCAGATCCGATACTTTTTTTTGTGGGACTGTGTTATTTATTAGTAGCTATTACTAAGTATAGCTGGTATAATTGCTGGTTGGGGTATGTAGCCCGCAATATCAGCAGTCTTGGCTGTGGGGTTACATATATTTTGCATACCTAGATTTCTGGTATCGAAGAATATTTTAGAAATGATTTTTAAATTTGATTAAATTAGCGTAATACCTTTAAAATATAATAAAAGACATACAGGATTGTCCATACTTTAAAAGGGTCTATATGTAATAACTTCTGAAGGTATTCCTTGGATCATTATAAGCTCAAAAG